TGTATATTGAATTTTAAAGTTGCCTAAAAATATGCCTCCTGCGCTTTCCTCTTAAGAAAATTTATGTACCCTCTAAGAACGTTTCATATCCTTAGATTAGCTGAGAGCAATATTTAAGTTTAATTAGAACTTGTATTATCACTTCATATATGGATACAAAACTATACAAATATAAGTGTATTTATAAAAAGGATGCAAAACTGTAGATAATACAGATGTCCCTTTTATAAGTACAAATATAGATGTATTTGTAAAAGTGAAGCAAATGGAAAATTAATCAACTATTCTTTATATATATATATATATATAAATATATATATATTGAGCTCACCAGAGACCGAGTAGTAGAATTGCTGAACAGTAGACATCGGTAGTTTGAGGTGAAGGTGTGTGTGTGTGTGTGATTATGGCAAAGCCTCGAGGGCTATCTGCCTAAGAGGAGGGATGCCTTCGTGGAGGACTTTCTAAGGGAAACTGGCTCGTATACACGTTACACATGGAGAAAACCACGAAAACGCCCATGCAGCCAGCCCGTTCGCGGGATTCGAACCTCGGACCGAACTACCAGTGTTCAGCGACTTTACCGCTCGGCCGCTGGTGGGCCCTCGGTAGTTTGAGAAAAAGATCAAGTTAAGGCTCAGCGTATGCACTGATTGCATAGAAGACTTCGTGAATTTCTCCATGTGTAACGTGTGTACGAGCCAGTTTCCATTAGAAAGTAATTCTTGAGAATATACTACTCATATTTCACTTTTTAGCAAGATTTAAAACTGCAAGTAATACCATTCAAGCATAATACTTCAAAAACAAGAGTTTGTAAACTAAACAATAAACTGCAGTACTTCTGATTTAAAAAAGACCTTTCGTACAAAAGTAAGAGTTTATTTTATATTAAAACTGGGTGCATCTAACACTAAAAATGTTCAAATGTTTAGATATACAGAGAGACAGAACTGGAAAACTCTGTTATGATGATTTAAGGATGGAAATTCTTTTGGACGCTTTCAAACTGTAATATTCAAACTGTCAAAATAATAGTATAAAATGTAATTTTAAGTTTTTGGTGTGTGTAAAATAACCTTCCAATTAAATTTTATTTAAATAATTTCATGTAAATAATTGTTAAATATAGATTTTTTTCTCAAACATTTCAAATAACCGATCTTAAATCCACACATTTATAATTTAAATAATATCCATAAATTATTAATATGAAAGTTAATTGCACATCCTTTCCATTATGATTCCACTTCATGTATTTATGCAAATTTTCGTCTGACAGCTAAATCATGACCAATGCGATGATGCGGGTTTCATTTTGAATGCAACTATTTAATGTGGACTCGACCAGCTGAAAATTTTTACGCCATCCTTTCGGTTATGCCGCATACATACTAACATGAAGCGGCTTAAGAAATGCATGCCTTCGTAATAATATTTTGATAGAAAAATGCATAATGATAATAAACAAGTGAGTTGTTCCGAAGTAACATGACTGATCCAATACAGACAACTTTTTGAAAAAAATTAAATTGGCTGTCGGCAAATACAGAATATCATTAATTATTACTAATGCTCTCTGAAATGCATATGAGCTATACTGATAACACTTTTCTCTCGTAATTTAATATTGTGGCTTTGTAGGGGGTCTTCTGTAGAAGTATCAGACATAGCCAAGGACTTCCATCTGTCGTATGTATGAGCTTGAGCAATGGTATTTAAGTGAGAAACAGTGAATAACTTACCAAACATCGCAATTAATATCCACTGACACCCATGTTTCCTCCTACAGTTAAAATTTCCTGGCAGAGCTGATGAGAGTGGGCGTGGCTTAAAAAGGAAAGAATTACAGACGAGCTTAGCTAAAATTAATTAACATGCCTATCCGGGTTTATTTTTCTCTATGTTTGTATGCGATTTTTTTCTGTTCCTAAATCACTACCTATTCTCTCAGATACTTAATAGCTTATGTATGGGCATTCTGTGCTGTCAAGGTCAAAAATATTTATAATAAAAAATTACTTTTTACTTCCGTGTACGAAAACGTGTATTTTATTTGTAAGTACTGCCATCAAGAAAAGTTTTGGGTATCATATTTCAACGGAAATATTCATTTTGATCATTCCCAAAAGCATTTGGGGGGGGAAGTTTTACGTGTTGTCTGTACGCAGAAATAGAATAAAAGCCTCTTTTTCTCCGAAGCGGCTTGTAGAAGGGATCTAAAATGGGATCAGAAGGGATTTCGTCGGGACGTGTGTACGTATGTATGTACACGTACCTACCTATCTATGTATCTCGCATAACTCAAAAACGATGAGCTGTAGAACGTTGACATTTTGTATACGTGACTGATATAACATCTAGTTGTGCCCCACCCTTTTTTCTTGAATCGGGAGTAGTAAATGCGTATGTATATTCCTACAACCTTACCCGGCCTTTATTTTTTGCAATCATTGGTCGTAGTCATACGCTTTCAATTACAGAAATGTTTCAAATGACGAAAATGATCATATTTTAACAATGCCAAATAAAAGAAATAATTTTTGGCGAAAAACGAGATCTAATCATTAATTCCTATATTTCTCCCGATTCCTATATTTATATTTGGGAAAGATTTAGAAACATTAAGAAAAAATAAGAATGCAAGAAGGTTGCCTCTCTTACAAAAATTGATCGCGATATTTAATTTCAAAATTTGGAACTTTTGTAGCCATTTTTTACTTGACTTGAGGGATCGGTACTTTAAGTTAGAATAATTCAAGGAAATAAGTTGAAGTGAAGTGCAACAAAAACGTGTATAAGTTAATAGGCCGTACAATGAAGTCACGTGGTGTCCACGTCATATTTTTGTATTATCCTATTGTGAATAGATTATAGTAGATTTTGTAGTAAATTAATGTAATAGATTATAGTAGATTATTGTGTAGTAGCGCTGATTATTGTTGTTTGACATCTAAAGTAATAATAGTAGATTATTGTTTTTATCTTAATATTGAAAAATGTTATGTACACTGTATCTTATAATCTGCATCTTATAAAGTGAACTTTTTCCCCCTCTTTCACATGTTTTACATTCGGAATGTAAAACTTGAAAGAGCGTAAAGCTTCTTAAAAAGTATCCTTCTTTATTTAGGCTTTCACTTCGCTGTTTACCTCTCAAGGCTTTTGCATTATTGGAACATTTTCTGTAGAAAGTTATTCTAAAAAGCATTTCGAAGTCGAATGCATTTCTAGAGCTTTAATAAGAATTCTCGAGAACAGCGACGTTGATATTCTACGGCTGTCGAAAGCTTGGCACTGGATGGAAAACATGTTCTTTTTACGCAAAAGCGTATTGATATAAAGAATGCTTTCGGGAAATATCTCGATAAGTTTCGAAATGCTTGAAAACTGTGAGTTTTCTTTCGTAAAAAACAAGAACTGTTAAAAGGCAGCGTGAGTGGAAAAACTGGGTATTTACATTTCGTCCTGCGTTCTTAAATGAAATTTCTTTACTTGGAAAAATATCTCGATTCCATTTATAACTAATACTATTTAATAACTTTGCGCACGAATATAATACCTTTGCAAATGGAAGTCTGTTTTCTTGCATTATTATTCGTATGCAAAAGTGAAGGAGCTTATTTTTAATAGATTATGGTTTCAGAAGCTTACACCAGACATGATGTAAGCTTCTGAAACATTTTTTTGTTGCACTAGGGAATTTCAAGATATATTTAGAGAGACAATCTATATAATTTTATGCAGGTTCCAGTCAAAAATGCTATTTGAAGTTGGCAGTGAAACAGCAAAGCTGTTAAATTAACTTCTGAGGCATTCCTAAGGACTAAAATTACCATCTTGTTCTTTTAGGTCAAGATAAAAATGAAGGCAGAAATAAGGTAGGGTTTAAGAATCTTCCAAACTTCATGAGATTGATGAGCATATTTAGAACTTTAATTTTACCTCTTAGAACAGGTCCTCTTAAACATTTTTCAGTTGCCACCCCTTTTTATCACTAAGATTTTTTCCGCGACCCCCAGGACCCCATAATATTTACGAAAATTTTGTGGGATTCCATAAGCATTGCGCAAATCCGACACAAGCGTGAGTGAAACTGTCAATTTTTTTCCCTTGCACTGTAATATTTTATGCAGTTTAGTCATTAACTTAATTTTTATTTTTAAGCATAGAACAATTGAAAAGTTTGAAGACATTAATAACAGCGTCATATGCAAAGCAATGAGCGTTTATATTACAAAAAGAATGCGTCGAAAACCTATTTCATATTTTGTCAGACATTAAAGACTTTTTGATTAACAAACTCAATGATTTCAAAGAGGCCAATGGCAACACTGTACAAAAAAAAAAATATCTCCAGCGCGAGACTGTGTATCGGAAATTCCAAAGATATGCACTTTTCAAATTATTTCGCGATATTGCTGTTGAATTGAATTTTATGGTTTATGTGCGAAGAACATGATTTTTAATAAATAAAGGTATCACACAAAACTTTAAAAAAGCATCTCTTTGGGCGTAATATAAAATCTGAAAACTTACAGAATATTTTCTTTCTTTTAACTTCACATACGAGAAGAACTATCAAAAACGAATTTTAAGATAACAAAATTTTTCCTATACTGTAACTACTGAACTGTTTTATATATTATTACTGTTGCAACAGATCCTTGAATCGTGCATTTTTATGTTAAGTAAAAGATTATTTTTTAAAGTCTTTTTAATTATGCGAAGCATTAATAGATATTTAATTAAATGCACAACATATAACTTGCTAAATTTTGATCTAAAGTTCTCATTTAAATTTCCACATTAAACAGATAACTTCAATTCATTGTTGAAATACTAAATGGAATAATTTAATGTTTGAAGAAAATGTGTGGCAAACAGTGTTCGTATTCTCGTAATTTGTCAAATGTGCTGTATTTATTTTATTACCTCGAGTATCATACTACCTAGATTAGGTCTATTTTCATCTTCAAATTTTATTTTTATATTTTTAGTGATCCTGAAGATCTACCAGGATTTCAGGAGGAGATCTGTCATACTGTAGAAGAAGATTATGATGATCAATCCCTGGACCAAGAAGAACTGTCTGAGACTGAATGCGATAGAGAAATCATCGGAATGACAAGACAGCGAAAATGTGAGATTCAGTAGCTTAGCTTATTAAACATATTTCTTAATTGTTATTTTTCTATTGTTTGAAAAAAAGAGACATTTCTGTATTGCCCGATCTACCGTTGACGAAATTTAATTTGCATTTTTCATTCACTTTGTCGAAAGCCTGACTTAGGATGTATATTATATTTATGTACAGCACTGTTCCAACATAGATATTTTGACACAAAATCGGAGTTACTCTGAAATGACTTACTGAAGTTTTTCCATATTTCGGCTCTACAATTCAAATTATACCCAAATATTAAATTTTGGAGAATTTCTTGAGAAACGTAACGAGAATTTTAAAAATTTATCTTGCACACTTTTTTTAGTTTGCGCCAAGAATAATTCATTTCGCGAAATTCTTAATTTATGGTAACATATTTTCCTTTCCTTTTTCTCTTTGTGCGCGAACGTAAAAATAAGTCCAATGTTTATTCTTTCAAAAAATTTTATAACAGATATGCCAAATTTCAAAACATGTTAACATTCTCGTATATCTTCGGTAATTTTGAACAAAAAACTCTAATGTTTTGCAAGTATGCCTAGAAATACGTCTACTTTAAGGTGATGGTAAAAATGTTATAGTTTATAATTCAGAATTTTTCGAAACCTTTCTGAAAATTACAAGTAAAATACTCGAAATTTACAAGTAAAAAGGTTTATGAAAATTGCAAGTAAAAAAATAAATCTAGAAATACCTTCATATTTTTTTTTATTTAACCTAAATTTTGAACTGTGAAAGAAGGACTTAAGTTTAATTAAAACAAAGAAGTAATATTAAATATATACATCAAATTCAATTAAAAATGAGAAGCTAAAATCTTGGTAACTAATTTTTTTTAAAACTACTCGTGCGATTTTTTACAAAACTTAGCATTTTTGCATAATTGGGAGCATAGAATTCCACGTTGTCCAGACGTGAAAAACGCATAGAACGGGAGATATAGAAATGTTCCATTTGTTTTCTGTGTGTGTGCAAGGTGTACACTTGATAACTGATATTCCAGACTCTGTAATAACGTTTCATTGCTTCATAAACAGTTATTTACATTCGTTATTTTGAAAATAATCATACTCAAAATGTTCGTATTTTAAATAATATGTAAGTTTTAAACAGTAGGAAATTTAATGTAAATGAAAGTTAAACGAGGTATTGGGAATCGAATTCAGCTATATTTACTGATTGGCTGAAATGGCAAACCTTCAAATGGCGGAAATGGAAAGTATCTAATCAAAAATAATACCTTTATAGAAAAAAATTCGTTTTATGTTAGACAAAAAGAATTACGCAAGGCTTCAAAAATAGTACTTTTCAATTAATTTATCCTGCGTGACAAAGTTTTTTTTTTTTTTTTTTTTTTTTTTTTTCTTCCAAAATGTAAAAAATTTTAATCTAAAGTAATCAAAAATATAGTCTACACCCTCGAAAGATATTTTGCTGTTAAACATTCCAAAAGATTTTTTTAAAGACTAAATACCACAAAAATAAAATAAATAAATAAATGTTTCTTTAGCTAACAACCACGCACATAGTTTTCATCAATGCAGAAAATATTGATAAATTATTATTTTGATCGATTATAAATAAAAGGCACTTCAATATATGTCAATTGAAACATTATTAAAAGATAAAATAAAACATTTTACGTTAAGAGGTACGTTTTCATAATTTTAAATCGGTAATTTTGCTAATAAATATTAACTTTATTTAATGTGAAAGATAATTCCTCGCATTTGCAGTTACCAAATAACATTTAAGAGCAGGTGATGTGTAAAAGTGAATGATAAATACATTAAAGGTCTAGTGTTCCGTCCAGTGTTTACTACACGGAACAACAGACTGCAGCTACACGGAACACAAGCTGTATTTAGATACTCTCCGTTCTTTTTATCCGTGAATTTCAGAGCTGTGATCGTGTCTACGAAGTTTATTTTACAAGAAGGCTATTTTATCCATTAAATAAAAACCATATATCTCTTTCGAAGCAATAAATAAAATTCTACGAAGTTTCCTTATTCAACAACAATTTCCAAGGGCTATTTGTTACAGTTACCAGGAATCCGTCGTGCAATGGATTCTTCTTAACGGCTTCTTTTTTTAAATAATTTATTTAACTCGGATGCATTTATTATCGAATAAAAGTCCGCTTGAAATTTTGTAACCGTTTTTTGGTATTTCGTCGTATTTTTTTTTTTTTTTAATCTAGCTATTTAACGTTTCCAAAGAAATCCGATTTTAAAATAATATAAAAATGTTTAAAACAATTTTTATCATGAAATTAATTTGGACTCGGAGTGTCTTCTATGTCCATTAAATTTATGAATTCATGGGCAAGCTGTATTTAGTAAAATTACAGTAGATGAAGATTTGCATAGAAAAAGAGATAGTGGGGAAATCAGGTGAGAAATTTCAAAATATTTTTTTCTTCCATGATACAAGTATGTATAAAAGAGAGCAATACATGAAGAAATTTATTGAACGAAAATATAATTATTAAATTAAGAGCATAGCCTTCGAAAAAATAATTTAATATCAAAATAATTACCAAAAACCTATCACCTATAGTTAAAATTGTCCTCGATTTTTGAAGTAAATAAACTTTCTCAGATCTGCATCTTACATCGTCGAACCTAATGCACCACATGACTTTCTTGTACAGCCTTTCTTCACTTCAATTAAACTTATTTCCTTTGAAAACGTTTCTTTACTTACAGGATAACCATTCCCTTATAGCAATTTGAAAATGGCGTCAGAAACTGTAAATTTTGAAATTAAATATCCCGGTTAATTTTTCTAATACAGCAATGAAGCTTTTTACAATTTCATTTTGTTTCATACAAAATATAAATTTTTTTCAAATATAAGTATAGCAATCAGAGACGGAAGTAAAAGTTAGATTTTGCTATTTGTAGAATTTTTTTTAAAATTTGACATTGCCCAAAGATAAATATTTATGTCATTTAAAATACGTTTTTAATTGGAAGTATATGACTACGACCAGCGATAGCTGAAATAAAGCAGGGCTAGGGTTTTGAAGTTGGATAAGAGGATGGGTTGGATATATATATGTGTGTGTTACGAGTAACGTTTGAAATCCAGTATTCTATAGAATGCCTAGGTATTGTATATAATGCCAAAAACTAGCCGGCAATGTATGAAACGATTAATATTTCACACATTTCCTATGCATTCTATAGAAGGCCAAATGACAAACTGATAAATTATAAAATACATTTCCGATTCGTTTCGAAGAACCAAATTATTTACCAGACGTTAATAAATGATAAGTTAAAAAGGCCAAAATGACTATTAACAAGGAACCATGGAATTACTGGCTGCTGAATAGCTAGGATGTGATATTCGTTGAAAACAAAATTACATTCATTTATCCTGTTAAAGAAAGCGTTAAAGTACGATACAGTCACGGACGATAAGTTATTTCTCGTACTTCATGAAAACGTATTTAAGTACTGGACACGGAAGACGTGGCAGTGTTGAAAGAACTTTCAACTCAATACAAAAACGTTAACCACCTTTGTGAGCCCTCCCAGAAAAAAAAAAAAAAAAAAAAAAAAAAAAAAAGATGTTAAAAAAGGCATTGTTGTGAAACTTATGATTGGTTCTTGAATTTAATTTCCGTTGTCCGGAAGATCTTACTGATTCCGAGTCTCAGCTAGACTGAAAATATAAATTTATTATTTTGCATCAGGATCATCTCACTAACTTTTTTTTTTACATATCTCGAATGACAATTTTTTTAATGGCACTCTGTCATTAATGTTTCAAAATAGAATTTGCAGTTTTGAGGAATAAGCGTCTTTTAAATAATGGCATTATCAGAACCTTTTCTCCTTTCATTATTCAAACTTTGCCTAAAGAGCATTTGTCATTCTGTACAATGCCTAGGGAAGTATGTAATAATTCTCATATTTCATACTTTGCCTAAAATCGCTCGGCATTATATACAATACCTAGGCATTCTATAAAATGTCGGCATTTCATACTTTGCCGGTTACATGCATGGTGTAGCAGTACATCGGAGAGAAGCTTTCTGGAGAGACTGAGTACACATAGACGATGGGAAATCACATAGCAATGCTTGGACGGAAATGCTTTCCTGGCTCGGTAGTGACGACACAAAACGCAAGAAAAGGACACAAATAGTGAGACAGAACGTGTTTCATTATGTTTAGTACAGCAGAAAGCAACAAATAAGAACTAAAACAAACGACGATCGTCATTAAAGAAGGTGTTCTAAATTACGACCCCGGACCGTGTGCAGGCCTCGCTTCTCCGGTACATGGAAAATTTGCATCACGAATGGAAGATGCATGACTCACGGTTGCTGCATCACGGTCCGGGTTTTAATTTAGAACACCTACTTTGATGATGACAGTCGGTTTTGGTTCTTATTCCTTGGTTTTATCTGCACCAAGCATAATAAACATCATACTCACCCTGTTCGTATCCTTCCTTTATTGTGTTTTGTGTCGTTACTACGGCGATAGAAAAGCGTTCCTGACCATGCATTGCTATGTGATTTGTGATTTTCCATCGTCTAGGTTTAATCTTTCTTTCCTGAAAGTTTGTTAACGTTGTACTGATTCATCCTAACGATGCTAGACAACCAACTCTGTGGTTGGGCTGGGGGAAATTTCCGGAACCGACCATTTATGGGAGGAGACCCGGGGAACTTCCACATCACTGTCTAGACAGCTCCGGCCTGCAGAGCAAATAATCAGTCAACACATAGATTAGAGCAATCATTTATTCGATGGTAGGTTCAGGCTTGGCAGGGACCGAACTGGAACTGCCCTGTCGGTGTCCTTGGTGGTGGACATGGTGAATGGTGTAGACCGTCTGGGAGATATTAGCTCTTCTCGGTCGGTGTGGAAGGACGTATAATCTTGCGAATTTTTAAAGGTCCTTGTTTAGTACCCCGAGAGGGAGTGGTGACCCCTCTCATAGGAATTTTATCT